ATTCACTTATTAATTCTATGATGGACAGAATCAATAAGTAGACATTGTACATTTCTATTAAAAGGTACCATATACCAATAGGTACCATATATCAAAAGCTACCTTTATACCAAAAGGTACCATATATGAAAAGGTACTTTTCTGCCAAAGGGTACCATAAGTTATAAAAGGTCCCTAGGCTCATCACTTTACAATTGCTGAATCTTACACCATCTATAGAGAAAGAAAAGAGCCTAGAAGATCTTGACCGAATAAAAGTGAAAGTGTCGAAGTCTTCATCGTTGTCTTCTACAAGTTCTTCAAATAACTCAAACATTCACAAGCAATGGCTGGAGGTATGTAATCTCGATCATTCCGCTGCACCGATATATGATTAAATCGGATAAATATTCTTACATTTGGTATCAGAGCAGAGTTTAATCTCTGCCTTGCTTGTGTTATGTATATTTTTCAAATTTGAGTTATTATCCATGAAATTATGATATTAAATTTGTTGATTATTTAATTTATTCGTGGAGAGTTATTTTGGGATTTGAATATGGAATTTGATAAGTTTCATGTATATATGTGATGTCATAAATCTAGATGAATTTGTTGGGCTACATTATGCTGATATGGACGGTTGAAGGCTTTAAAAAAAAAAAAAAAAATAATGTTGTGTTGAACCTGGGACACGAGATGGCCAGATTGAAAGCATTTTAATGCTCCGTTTGTAACCATCCTGCCATATCACTCTCTATGTCATCTAAATGATGTTTTGTTTACTTAAACTGATTTACTATAATTGATTAGCATGTTTTAAGTATTATTATATGATTAATATGTTTATGCTTGAATAATTGTATGCTTTAAATTTATAGATCATGCATGCAATAAAATTATGTTATTACATGTTACAAATATTAATCTTGATACCTCATAGATAAATAATTGTTTATAAATTTACAATTATATGAGTTATTATTTTATGTTATGTGGTGAGTATAATTTTAATTAAGGAGTAGCCACAACATCTATATTTAATTGAAATTATATATAAAATTTGTTAGTAACCACATATGGATATATAACATAAGTTGTGATTTTTCATATAAAATATGGTGGATCTTATCCCACAGGAATTTCTACTATATTGGTGTGATTAATTAGGATAAAATATTAAATTAATTTTCTAATTTGCCCACATGAATTAGAAAATGGTGGTAATTTGATAGTTTTATCATGAAGTTTGTAAATCTAATTGAATTAGAACTTTAGCCCACAGGCAAGTTTTATGTCACTAGATTTATGTTTAGACATGTTCTATATTGATATAACATGTCATATTGTTTTTTTTTTTTTTTTTTTTT